ATTTCTAATATGTAACATTACTTTTTTTCTGTTGTATCCTTGGATAGGTTTCACACTGCAGTTTCATCTCTTTACCTCCTCTTTCATATCCTAGTACTTCCTCATTATTTGCTATTTTTAATACTGTTGTACACCTTGTTGTATCTGGAGAGAATTGAGGTTGCTCAATTGTCAGCTCAGAACATCACTATTAGTTAATCTTAGATGAAAAATTTATCTTTATTATTGGCTCAAGATAGTTCGTGATGTCGATATTAGATCACACCACAGTCATTTTAATGACGGTATGTCTTTGTGAAGCTACACGTTCAGTAAGATTGTTGTGATATAAAGCAAACACATGGAAGCCAATGTGTAATAATAGTTAGAAATAAGAAAGGCAGTATCCAAGGTGATTCTAAGTTTTCAGAAATTGTGCTAGTAGGAAGTAATTGTAGTTATTAAGAATGAAATACAAATAATTTCTTTTAAGGGGAGCTCTGGTGGCCTAGTGGCAAGAAGCTGCACTACAATCCCAGAGGTGCATGGTTCAAATCCACCAGATGCTCTGCCGGGGAAGGAGGGGCAATCTCCTCCTGTACCAGTCAGATCTGATTTGACGGTACACGCACACAAAAATAATAATAAAAAAAATGAAAAAAAAAATAATTTCTTTTAATTTATATGTACTGGTTTGTTTTGAAATGGTTAACAAGAACATAAATACATATTCTTTGAGGTCTAACAGAACTGCTAGATACTTCCTTTGGCCTTGAGATGATGTTAAAAATGTGTAATACTCTAAGGGTGCTTTTAAACTCAGAAGATTTGAGAATCCCTGTCTGAAGTGTTGCTTTGGCAAAGTGAATACTCTGTTAATTTATTTTCTTAGTTTGAGCTGGATCTTTCCTGGGCTCTTTATTTTACTGACCATTCCTTTTCACAAACACTTATCAAGCTGTATGCACAAGGTTACAAAGATTAATAGAACTCAGTTTTCACTTCTAGAAATTCATTGTCCGTTTATTATGTCTTTCTCTTTCTGCCATTCTTTTCAAGTATTCAAATATTCCCCTAAGACATAGTCTTCAGCACTTACTCAGTTCTGTCTCCACGTTTACTTTTGAGGTTTTCACTACCATTTTGCTAAGCATTTAAAAAAATCAGTATCTCTATACTTGGTTTCTACCTTAGACTACTGCCTCATTCTTCCATTTCTAGCTGCATCCAGGACAATCATTTTGATATCTTACTACCACTTACCCAAACAAGGCATCTTTCCTTATTAATTGCTCTCCCCTCTCCAAGTCACTACATTTCTGTCACTATTTTTCTGGTCTCTGACGTCAACCTCAAATCATCTCTCAATTCTTCCCTCTCCTTACATGCTCTATTTCTAGTGTCTCACATTTGGCTCTTTTTAGATGATTCACTTTGTATTTATTTATTTGACCTGTATTTTGTTGTGCTTTTGGTGAAAGTTTGCATTATATCCTATTTTTTAAAAATATCTTCTCTAGCAGTAATTCCTGTTTCAAATCCGACTAGGTCAGATGTTCCTCTTTTGTGTCACCATAGCTGTGTGTCAACTGTTCACACACTCAGCCCAACACTTACTTCACTGTGTTACATGTGTTGTCATTACTCACATGACTGAACTTTTTAAAGTAGTTATAATTGAGCTTTTTATTTTACTTTAGTGACAAAAAAAGATCTTCCTTTTCCGAGAGCTGTTCTGAGCTATCATATAACATCTATCCATCACCATAATTTGTTTTCTTTTAGGTTGCGTGGCAGTAGGAAAATCTCTGAATAGCCGAAATTTTAGCAAGCTCTTGCACTCTTGCCCATACCAGTGTGACCATCATAAAGTCATTGTGGAAGCTGAAGACAGATACAAAAATGAGCTAAGGAAGTCACTTCTCTGTAACAAAAGTAATTAACTCAGTAGCTTGAAAACTGTAATTATGATTATACCTTATGAATACTCACCTAGAAGATTATACTAAAAGTTAGAAGGTAAAGTGATGTTGCAAAGAAATCCTACCTCTGAGTATCCAGTGATTTAAGCTGTACCCAGGGAGCAGATTTAGACTGTGGTGGCTTGAAAGTCCATCCTCATCCACCTAACCATTCCCACTAGAAGGGGGAAACAAGGAAAAATCATGCTTATAGAGGGGATGTTCTGTTAGTCAGATTGATACTGAAAGTGTGAAAAAATGTTTTCTGTTTTTCAGAAATTCTGCTGACCCCTCGGAAAAGAGGACAACTCTGTAATGAATCTGCTCTCCCTGGAAGAATAAGTGAATATATTTAATTTTTTAAATGAACTTAAATTTTCTGTATGCCTGAGAAAGAAAATAGTTGATTAGTTGTTCTCACATCACTGGTGGCTTTTTTTCTTTTTCATTTTAACACTGTTTTAATCAAGTCACATAGGTGTTTGCCCTGGTAGCTTTAAATGTTCTTCCTCAGCTTTGAGTGGGTCAGGTTTCATAAGAAAAGAAGCTTCTTTTTTCTTCCCACATACTTCTTGTTCTCCCATTTCACGCCAGCTGAAGAAGGAGCAGAAGAAACCAACACTTAAGTGTTTTGTTAGCACTGTTTCCTTTAATTCTTGTAAATTTTTAATAACATTGTATGATAGGTGTTATAGTATTCCCACCTTAAAGTACAGTGGGTTAAATGGCAGAGCTTCGATTCATATGCAAGAGTTTCCCTGAAAGCTCCTGTTCTGTTCACTAAATCACATTTCTATTTGAAGAATAAAATTAGTCTCCTATACATAAGTGCTTTCAGAGAAATTTCTCAAAGAAGTTTTTATTCATAACTGAAGCACTTCAAACTCTCAATACTAGAAAGACAATATAAAATGTAAAGCCCTTAAAAAAGATTATACTGCCTTAAAAACATTTTTTTTACATTTTTGTTTAATTTTACTTGAATGTTTATAAATCATTGGTTTTTCATACACTCATTCATAGACATTTTGCTTTATAACATTATTTACCAGTGATTGGCAGGATCAATTAATTATAAGGTTTTGTTGTTGTTATGTGCCATCGAGCACTCATAGTGACCCTTTGTACAGCAGCCCTAAACCCTGCTCTATCCTGGGCCAACCTCACTGTCTCTGACACACCTACCCCATTACCCCATGACTGAATCAGTCCATCTCATAGAGGGTCGTCTTTTGTTGTTTGCTCTCAGTGTAAAGATCTCCCTTTTGGACTTCTTGTAGAGTCTAGGTTTCATAAATTCCTTTAGTTTCTCTGTCTGGAAATGTGAATATTTTACCTTTGATGAACAGTTTTGCTGGGTATAGGATTCTTGGCAATTTTTTTCTTTCAGAGTCTTATTTGTATCGTCCCATTGTCTTGGTTTCTGCTGAGTAATTGGAGCTTTGTCTTAGTTCTCCATTATAGCTGCTTTCAGTGTTCTTTGTCTTTAATTTTGGAAAATCTTTTGTTATGTCTTGGTGTTCTTCTTTTGAAATCTATCCTGTTTGAGGTTCTCCAGCTTCTTGAATGTGTATTTTATAATTTTTCATGATGTCTGGGAAGCTTTCAAGCAGCAAATCTTCAAAGATATCCTCTGTGCTTTTTGGGGGATGTCACTACTTCTTCTAGGATTCTAGCCACACATTAGTTATTCCTCCTGATGTGTCCCACACATTTCTTAGACTTTCTGCATACTGTTGCCTTTCCTTCCTCCCTCTGATTGTTCCTCTAACAGATTATTATTCAGAGTTCTTCCTCCACTAATTCTTTGTTTTCTCACAGCCTAAAACATGAAATAAATCTCAAATATACTCTTAGTATCTGGGTCTTTTTCCAGATTAAATTCTTACCTGAAAAGTAAAAATAAATATAGTACCATTTATAGGGGACCATACTTTTTTTTAAATTTTTTTATTTTTGTTTTCTTTTTTTAGGGACCATACTTTTTAAAGCAGTATTTTCTCTAGAAAATTGTTATTTTTCCATAACGGCATGTTCAGCTGGAAATCTTGTTCTTGCCAAGGACTTGCCATCAGATTAGTAATAGATTTTTTTCCCAACATACCTCAGAAGCAAATATGTAACAATTGAAAAATGCTCTGTAATAATTTTCTGCAAGTAAAATATAGAGCCTCCTGACTTGGACATAATTATAATCATGTCTTGATTACAAAGAGGCTTCCTAGAGCAATAATGTCAGTTTGAAGTCTAAGGTGTTTCTGATTGAGGCCATGATCTTCTCATTCACCTCCTATGCATCAAAGAGCTGGAAAGTGAATAAGGATGGCAGAAGAAGAATTTATGTCTTAAGAGTTGTGGTGCTAGAGAAGAGTACTGAATATCCATGGACTACCAAAAGAACAAATAGATATGTTTTGGAGAAGGTGCAACCAGAGTGCTCCTTGGAGGCAAAGGATGGCGAAGCTTCATCTTTCACAGTTTAGATGTGTGGCTAGATGAGGCTATTCCTTGGAAAGGGACATCATGCTTGGAAAATGGAGAGTCAGTGAAGGAGAGAAGACCCCATCGGGATAAATTGGCATGGTGACTTCACATGAGTGTGTCAGAGATGATGAAGATGACACAGGTTAATGGACGAGGTTCAGGTTGGCTGTTCCTAGGGTCACTGTGAGTCATACTCAATTTGATGGCACCTATCAACGATAGCAGATACTATTAAATGACTATCACCCAATATCTCTTGCAAGTTAAACTTGATTTAATGACAAGTAAATGGCTAGTTATTTGGCCTGCTCTAAGAATTTAAGATGGGTTTTCTGGTTTGAGGTTGAGACTAGTGTGTGGCTATAGTTCACAACAGGGTATAAACTGATTGGATTTGGCCTCATAATTAAAAAAGACTTTTGGGCCCTCTGGTCTGTAGCCCCCGGGTCTGCTTTTTGTTAATCTCCTAAATAAAACAGACTTGAAAGCAGGAGTGACATCCACGTCCAAAAAAAGCTTGCCTCCGGAAACGATGAACTTGGAGAAAAGATGAGTTTTGTGTTCAAGACTTTCATTCATAGGGTCGCTATGGGTTGTCTATGACTCTATGGCACCTAACAACAACTAGCATTTAGACAGGCACTTTGAGAAATTGATAAGTTGATTTTATATTTTTTACAGTCTGGCTATATTGCCATTTTCCTTCCTCTTGATATATTTCTCCTTTCTATCATAGACATTCAATCTGATTCTGTTGATCTTAGGAGACACCTACATCTGCTACTATCATTTGCTTGCTGTCGAGGAGTGAGAAGGGACCATGATAGCATCTAAGCATTTGAGGATTTCTCAGGGTTCCCTTTCAGGGTGAATTGGCGTCTTGAGAGGATTTGAACATAGGAGGGTAGACTTGAGCCCTTTTACTTATTTTTCTTCTCTGACACTGTCAACGTTAAGGACATGGAATAAACCATCAAGACCTCCTCACCTTGCCTCTACCAGCAGCCCACTGTTCTGCAGAAACCTTGGGGGGAAATTGGGCACAGTTGAATAGGAGTCTCTGAGGTGGTAGCTGCAATGAAACAGTCAGGATTGGATTTGCATGAAAGACTCATATACCTCAATATATGAAAGTTAGAACCCACTCAGTTCTGACACTAATAAGATCAAATCATTTAACTAGTTGAAACAGTTCCCAGTAGATGCTAAGTAAGGAATAACTTCATTGATAAATTTTAAAACCGTTTTGAGAATGATAGCTTTTTTCCATTCAACTAATATTACTAATTACCAATGTGTCAGCCTTTTTCTGGCACTCAGAACACAGTAGCAAGCAAAATGAAACAATATAACATTCTACTACTGTTGTTATTATGAGCCAGTTGAGTCTCTTGCCACTGGTAGTGACCCTGTGTACAACAACCCTGAAACCTACTCTATCATGTACCAACCTTATTGTCTTTGACACACCTACCCTCATTACCCCAGTCATGGAATCAATCCATCTCATCAAGGACTTCCTCTTTTGCTGTCCCCACATCTTTTCAAACATGATAATCCCTCTCCAAGGACTGGTCCCTCCTTACAATGTGCCCAAAGTATGTCAGACGAAACCTCAGAATTCTTACCTCCAAGGAGCAGCCTGGTTTTACCCTCTCTAGAACAAACCTGTCTGTTTTTCTTGGCAGTCCATGGTATACTCAATACTCTTTCCCAGCACCATAGCTCAAAAACATCAATTAACTTTCTGTCATCCCTAGTCATTTTCCAGCTTTCTGACTCATAGCAAGTAATTGCAAAGACTGTCGCCTGGATCAGGTGTACCTTAGTCTCCATGCTGACATTGTTGCTTTTCAGTCCTCTGGAGAGGTCCCTAACTGTAGGCTTTCTACTGCTTTTAAGTGATAAACATTATCTACATTGATTTTCCTTTTTCTTTTTCTTTTTTTTTATAATTATATTTTATTAATTTTCATAAACATTTACAGAGATTTTGGGCTTCCACTCATTCATTGTTGCACTATTCTCTCTACCCTCCTCCCAGTTTGTTCTTGTCCAAATGCCACAGTGCTTGTCAAAGCCAGTTCTGATCAATCTTCTTTGTCAGTGTATCCTTTGCCATTCCCTATCACTCCTCCCTGAGAGAGACTTCACCCTGAGTCATAAGGAAAAGGGGACGGCGTATTCTCTTAGCTACTTCCTGCTGAAAAGGGACGCTGTGGGTTTCAGGGTGAAGATCTTCTCTCACTACTCTAAAGGGCCCCTTTGGCAGTAGGAAACACATAGACTATTATGGAGATTGATTTTGGAATTCAGATGCACTCTTATTGATTGTGCTTGGCCATACATGTTCATATCCTTGAAGATGTATCATGGGGGTGTTGCAACCTAGAAGGCACAAATTTGACTAACAAGTTATAAGTACATGAGTCCAAAAATTATGGAAAAGTAAAAGAAAAGATTCTTTCATTGTTTTACAAACCCTCCCCCAGGTCCCCTCCACCATGCAGCCCTCGCTCTAGTCTCCTGTGATGACAGAAATACCCAGTTACATGTCTCTTTTAAACGGTTCTCTCCCTCCTCTGTTTCAGTGCAGTACACATCATTGAACCCATCTTACTCAGTCTCTCCCCAGCCCCAAGGACAGTCCCATTCTACAACAGTGGCATCATGTAATATTTGTCCTTTTGTGACTGGGATATTTCACTCAGCATAATGTTCTCCAGAGTCAACCATTTTGAATAATATTGCATGAGTTCCTTGTTTTTTAATGCAGCATAGTATTCCATTGTGCGAATATACCACAGCTTCTCTAGCCATTCGTTTGTTGATGGGCACTTTGGTTGTTTCCAACTCCTTGCTATTGTGAACAAAGCTGCAATAAACATGGGTGTGCATATATCTGCTTGGATGTCAGCTATGGTCTCTTCAGGGTATATTCCCAGTAGTGGAATTGCTGGGTCAAATGGTATCTCTATTTGCAACTTTTTGAGAAAGCGCCATACTGCTTTCCACAGGGGTTGCACCATTTTACACTCCCACCAACAGTGAATCAGGGTTCCAGTTTCTCCACAACCTCGCCAGCATTTGTTGCTTGCTGTTCTGTTAAATTTTGCCCTTTTGACTGGGGTGAAATGATATCTCAGAGTTGTTTTAATTTGCATCTCTCTTAGGGCTAGGGATTTTGAGCATTTCTTCATGTGTTTGTTAGCCATCTGAATGTCGTCTTCGGTGAAGTGCCTGTTCATATCCTGTGCCCATTTTTCTATTGGATTATTTACCTTTATCTTGTTGTGGTTGATTTTCCTTTTTCATCTTTATACTCTAATGTTTTCTCTTCTTTTTGAAAACTCTGAGCCAGGGAGATTTCTCTTATATTAGTTAGGTGGACAAATGGCCAAAGGTAAGACTTAAAAAGACTCCCAGCACTACTGCGTGTAGGGTGCTCATGTAAATAACTCACAGCATAGCCCACATAGGAAACCACTGTGTGAGGGGTTTGTGAAGTTTGCAGAAATCCGTATCATTTGCTCATTGTTTGGGTAAAGTATGGTGCTCAGTCCCATAAAACTGCAAATCAGCCTTGACTAGAAGTACCAGAAACTACCATTCACACCCATCTGTCAACAGTGATAGTGTGGATGAGCAGTTCTTAGTAGTTACCACCAGGAAATATTTAGGTTTACACATACCAACTGTGCATGTACTCTGCTGGAGAAAGGATTCTGAAAACCCACATAGTTTAAATAAACTTCCTTTCTCGTTAGGCAGCCTTGTTTTGTTTTTCTTGTTTTTCGGGTGGTGTTTTTTCCCCCCAGTTTGATCAAACTGAATACCCTATATAGGTAGTAAACATGTTTGGGGTTTTGTTTTTTAATTTCAAAAAGACCCTTAACCTTGAAAAATCTTAATCCAGCCTAATATTTAAAGTAACAAATATTGATATTCTTTTCTATTCTATGAAGTTATGGAGCCCTTTGGGAAGACTGTATCTATGAGATAGGTAAGCCATTTGTTAACTGTCCTCATAGGAATATTGAGAGAATTGGCAGTTAAATGTTTACAAACTGTTGTGGGTTTGGAATAAAAGAAGTTGTAAGTATAACTGCAAAAGATTAAGTTACAATTATCGAGAAAGTCACAGTATCTAGCATTAGAATTGGTGCTCGATTTTTTTTAACTGAAGCAAATTACCATCTGAAGTTCATCTCAAGCATGAAGTTGTCTCACTAAAGAAGTTCATGTCCTTAGATGGGGTTAAGCAGTTACTTGGATCTCCAGAAGACCTTTATTTTCCTCCCCTTCAAGAACTAATATATTCTGTATATTCACTAATTACAGAGAAAAGAAGAATTCGTAAAAACTTTACTGAAGAAGAAATAAGTTACCTTTTCAGTGGAGTAAAGAGAATGGGAAATCACTGGAATTCCATTTTGTGGTCTTATCCCTTCCAGCAGGGAAGGACAGCTGTGGACCTTGCTCACAAATACCACAAGCTGATCAAATGCCAGAAGTGTGCTGCTCCTTCACTGGAAAAGGACTGTGTCGGTTTTTAATTTGGAGTCTTAAAATACAGTGCCTTGAAGGGACAAAAATTACAAATACTCTTCTAAACTTTCAGGGAGTATGCAAATAGGAAAATATTTAATTAAGTTTTTGTTATTCTGGAAACTGTGAAATTATTCTACTCATTTAAAAATAAATACGTGTCAAGTGTGCACATTACTAAGATAAAATTCTTTTATAAGGTCAAAATATGTTGGGAATATTCTTTCTCTTTAAGTTAAAGAATAGAACTCAAATGCTAAAAAAAAACAATCAACCTTTGAATATGTTTTTTATATTGGAATTAATATTGTCTGAGACATTTAAATTTTTGTATTTTTAAACCTGGTGCCAAAGTTTATCAGTTCTCCAGAATTGAAAAAGGGTTTCCCAAGCTGTTCAAGTGAGGTTCCCACAAGATAAGCAAGTATTTGACATTTTGTTAATTAAAATGTTTCTCTCCTATATGCTAATGGTACATTTGTTTTGACTATGCCTGCATTCTATGACCAGATTAACTACTTTTCAAAGTTTAAAACCATTTCTAAATGGGTTTATGTTAGTTTTCTTTTTAGAGAAAAGTCAAACTATTAGATCTCAATTTTCTTCTTCTCTCACTCTCATTTTGTACCCCACTGTGATCCCTAAAGGATGCTGTTGCAGGGTCCATTATGCTTGCTTACCAGTGCTTCAGCCGTGGCACAGAGATCAAGTGTCGGCGCCTGAAAGCTGAGCCCCTGTGGGCACTGGCGTGCTGCTTAGTCATTCCTCCAGCTCCGCTAGTCCCAGGGGCCATTCACTACAAGCACGCATTCTTTGATCATAACTGTTTCTACTTGGAGAAAGAAGAATTTTTGTTAAATTAGTTCTGTTTTGATCCACAGTGAAAATTCCATAGGGCCAATATGCAGAAAATTTAAGTATAAAATTTCTGTTAGGCAAGAGAGTAATTTAATTTACAATTAGGAAAATTCCTTCTAGTACTTAAAATGAGAATGAATATAGTACATTTGTCAGTATTCACTAAGCACCGGAACCAGGCCTAACAGTGGAGTACGTTATGTGGGGCTGCTAGAGGGAGTTCTGGTGGCCCAGTTGTAATGAGTTGCTTTGCTAACCCAAAGGCATACGGTTCAAATCCACCAACTGCTTCGTGGGAGAAAGATGGGCAGTCTCCTGTAGTAAGCAAATCTTCCACCTCAGTGGTCCATAGCAACCTGTACCTAGCTGCTCCCCAGGAAAAAGATGGGCAACTCCTTGAGTTGGCAAATCTTCCAACTTGATGGTACATCACCAAAAGATCTGTTGTTTGAATCCCCTAACCATTGCAGAAGGAAGATGAACAAAGCTCAAACTCTGTCACTGAGTCAAAACTGACTCCTAGTTGACCCTCCAGCAGGTTTTCAGTGGCTGTAAATTGTAGGGGAGGAGATGGCCCGTCTTTCTCCTACGGAGCAGCTTGTGGAGTTGAACTGCTTGCCTTTGGGTTCACTGGCAGCACAAAACAAGATTGCTAGCGCTCCCTCAGAAACCTGACGGAGGGTGGCCAGGAGTTGGAATCAACTCGACAGCAGTGCGGTTTTTCCTGATTTATGGACATTATTAGAGAGCTCTGGTGGCATAGTGGTTAAAAGCATTTAGCTGCTAACTTTAAGGTAAGTGGTTCAAATTCACCAGCTACTCCTTGGGGTAAAGATGAAGCAATAATCTGCTTCTCTAAAGATTTACAGCCTTGGAGACCTTATCGTGCAGTTCTGTCCTGTGGGGTCACTGAGTCAGGTGGGGGTGTGATTTAAATAGGCTTGTAGGTTAGTTTGATTTGTGCCACTTGGAATTTATTTTATTCTATCCCCTGACGCTCATAGTATAGTGCATTACATATTGAACTGTAAATCCCAAAGTCAGTGGTTCAAATTCAGCTGCTTTAAGGGCGGTAGATGGACAGTCTCCATGGACCAAACTTAAGTGGATATGAGTGACTTTTATTTCCTTACATGGAGAGATTGGGTAATAAACTAAATGATGAATTATTAGAGAACTGTTTTGCTTTTGGAATCCTGAGCTGGCTTAACTCAATAGAGAATAACAAGATTTAAATAATCACAGACAGTAGAGGTGCAGCTGTCTTCAGTGATCGTTCCCTGCCTTCTACCTGTCTATTTTGAGAAACCTGTAATTCAGTCCTTTACAATGTAGGCACCACATTTGGTACAATCACACTAGCCCTTGAGGAAAAGGCAGATAGATACTTCTCACTTTCCCCTCCTTCTGAAACCTTCAGAGCATGAGCCCCAGCTACTTCATGCTTCAGCATGACAGTGCCAGGGCCTCTCATGAACTTAGTCACTGACCACTAGACAGCTCTTTGTAAAACGTGCCCAGATAAAAATGTGACCTGGGTGTAGTCTGATAGCAGAAGGGAGAAGAAAGGAGAGGCTGCTTTGATTTAGTTTTGGTTGGTTTGAAGAAGTGTGTGTTGAAAGTTTCTGTAGCATATTAGGTTTCCATTTAACACTTTCTATACATCATGTTCCATGACATTGGTTACCTTCATCATAATCTGCCAATGTTCTTGTTACTTCTCTTTTTTTATTTAGATTTATCATCTTTGTTTTTATATAAATGTTGATCGTATGTAGTTGATTATTTAAAGGAGTACTGTTTTCATGGTTGATGTGGTTTATTTTTTAACCCAATCAATTGTTTTAATGAAAAGTGACCACTGGTAGTGGCTTTAGCTCCAAATTAAAGTATCATGGGATAATAGTTTCTGACAGTCTAGTAAGTCTGGCCTTTTTAAAGAATTTGAGGTTTCTACATTTTTCTTTCTTTATATTGAGGACTTTCTAATGTGTCTCCCCTTAACACCATCAGTAGTTGTAACCAGGCTCTATAGAGGGCTTTTTGTTTGTTTTGTCTTGTCTTGGGTTAGAAGAGGATGTTGTTAATTTGAGCTTTTGATCCTATGGACCACTTTATTCTTTGGTTGTTCCAGACAAAGGGTTGTATCTTAGATGGCTGCTCAGAAACTTTTGAGATCACAGTTACTACACAGCAGACTAAGTTATAGAACATTGCCTTTCTATGCCATCTGACTGAGTTATCTTGTGAGACAATGACAGAGACCCAGTGGTTTTTATGGACTCTACTGAAGACATTTCTTGGTATCCTATATGAATAGCTTTCATATTATAGTAAATACAATTAATGTTTAGCTTATGATTATTATTTAGAGGTTTCTCTTTTAAACTCCAGTTTTAGGCTCCAGTTGTTCTCTGAGAGAAAGTTGTGCAGTCTCTTCCTGTTAAGTGTCACAGCCTTGGAGACCACTTTTTTTTAAATTCATTTTAATGAAAATTTACAGAGACTTTGGGTTTCCAGTCATTCATTGTTGCACTTTTCTCTCTGCCCACTCTTCCCCCCCAATTAACTCTTCTTGAAAATGAAAAAAACCCTCTTTCATTGTTATGCAATCCCTCCCCCAAGTCCACTCCACTGTGCAGCCTTCATTCTAGACTCCTGTAATGACAATAATACTCAATCATATATCCCTTTTAAACAGTTCTCTCCCTCATCTGTTTCAATGCAGCATACATCATTCCTCTCCTCCTTTTCTGTCTTTCCTCAGCCTTGTTGTCTGTCCTGTTTTACACCAGTGGCCCCATGCAATATTTGTCCTTTTGTGACTGAGATATTTCACTCAGCATAATGTCCTCCAGGGCCATCCATTTTGCATCATATTTCATGAGTTCCTTGTTATTTTTGCCTCCAAGGAGGAGACCACTTTTTGACAGTGGGTTTGGTTTTGGGGTGTGTGTGTTATTTTGTTGTTGTTACTTCTTCTAACACTTGACCAATTAGTATCTTTTTGCATGGATCTGACCCTGGGTCCTGACAGTCTTGTGTGTCAGAAATCGTTCTGCACAGGGCTTTCTAAGGTTTTGGATATAGAGTGCCAATGCTTTTATTCAAAGTGCCTCTGGAGGATGTAAACATCCAGCCTCCCTTTGGTCACCCCAGTGCACCGTAACTGCTTGTGCCACCGGGTAAGCTCTTTCATCTAACATGTTTTTAAGGTCCATTCATGACATGTTCTCCACTCCTTTCACTGTGAAATTGTATTCCATGTGTGCATGTACCATGTTTGGCTTCTCCTTTCACGGTCAGTGGACATTCGAGTTGTTCTCATTTTTGGCTATTTATGAATCCATCAAATGGAGTTCTTCTTTTCCTTTCGCTACTCCCCCACCCCTCAGCCCTCCACACCTTCTTGACTTTCCCATCCCCCTTTGAGAGGAAACCAGAGCTTCCATTTTAGATCTTAAATGCTGGATCCCTAAAAATATCAAAATAGCCTGTTGGCAAAGCAACTTAGTGCCCCAACTGGGAGCTCTGGAGCCTAGTGGTAAGAATCTGCTGTGCAGTCTAGAGGCACTTGGTTCCAACTGTGAGCTGCTCCGTGAGAGAAGGATGGGCACTCTCCTCCCGAGTGAACAACTACCTCTGAAAACCCATTGGAGGGTCAGCTGTGGGTCAGTTCCGACTTGACGGTACACAACAACAACAACCCGCCTGAGCTCAGTGTCATCAAGGCAAAATCAACTCAGAGCTGATACTCCAGTTTGTGGAGTCTGCAAATTGCCTTTTAGGAAACTGTCCATCTTTTCCCTTGGAGCTGCTGGTAGATTAAAATTGCCAGAGATGCTCCATGTTTGAGTTAGCTCCCTGCAGACTGCACCACCCATGGGAACTGTCTTCTGCAGGAAGGATGTTGCCTGACACTCTTAGGGAGTCTAGGAAGGAAGCAGGCAAAAGTGGGACATTGTTAACAATTTTGTCAGCTTTGTTTAAGGGCGCAGGGCCTGACTAGGATTAGGCAAAGTTCACAATGTCATTATTGTTAGGTTCCACTGAGTAGACAACTCACAGCGACCTTATAAACAGACCCAAACCTTGCACCCACATCCTGCACCAACCTCACCATCTTGGCCACGCTGGAGCCCATTAGTACAGTCAATCTCAATCCATCTTGTTGGGGTCTCCTTCACTTCCTCTGACACTCTACTTTTCCCACCATGCTCTCTTTCCCCAAAAACTGGTCTTTCCTGACGACATGTCCTATGTCCGTGGGACTTTGTCTTGGCCTTGGTTTCATTCCCTCCAAGACAGATTTTTGTTATTGTTCCTTTCGTAATCCATAGGGTATATACTCTTCACCACCACCACCACCACCATTCAAAGACAACGAACAGTTCTTCTTAAGTCTTCCTTATCCATTATCCGGCTTTCAGATACTATATAAAACATTTGAAAAATACATGGCTTGGATAAAACATACCTTAGTCTTTAAATTGACATCTTTTCTCTTTAGTTGGCACTTTGGGGAGGTCCTTGGCAGCAGATGTCCTCAGTGTGACGTGTCTTTTGATGTCTTGATTGTTGTTCCAAGTTAAGGATCCAAGTAAAAAGACATTGTTGACAGTTCCAGTCTTTTCCCTGAATATCATGATGCTGTCTATTGATCTAGTGGTGAGGATTTTTTTTATTGTTGTTCTCTTGATGTTGAGACATAATCCTTATTTGAAGGCTTTGATCCTCTTCAGTATTTCAAGTCTCTTTGCAAGCAAGATTATTTCATCTGCTTAAGGAAAGTTGTTGATGAGTCTTCTTCCTCTGATCCTGATGCTACATCCTCCTTCATATAGGCTAACTTCTTGAATTATTTGCTTTTTAAGATTGGTGAAGACGGCTTGGAGTTAAGATGCTACCATTCCAGCATCAAGTTTCCAGGCAGATTTTCCTAAAACGTTCGCGCTTAAGTTTCTGATTTTGGGTGTGATAATGTATGACATAATGTAGCTTTTGGCATGCGAGGAACGCTGGATAAATGCAATCATCGAAGATTAGAGTCTGATTCCGAAGCCTGGACTTCTCCCGGGTGTCTTTGGCGGACACACCGGGAGCGGCGGCAGAGCGAGGGGCCGCGGCGGGCGCGGTGCGCTGCCCCTCTCCGCCAGCAGGGGCCGCCAGCGCCCCCTCTGC